GGGGGGTTTGTCTTGTGTTGTGTTGTTTTGCTACAAATGTTCAGTTTAAAAGGGAACTTCCTCTCCCCTGTGCCTTCTTTCATTGCTTTACACATTCATTCAACAAATGTTTATTAAATGCCTCCTGTATGTCAGATCATTCTAGGTGCTGAGGATAAATCAATAGGCAGCAAAAGAGAGCCTCGGGTTTTTTTGAATTTCTTGTCTAGTAGGGAAAGAAGAGTCAATAACGGAATAAGCGTATGTCAATAGCGATCGGTACTGGGAAGGGAAATTGAACAGGTGGGGACAGAGTGATTGTATTGTTGGTTTACTTTTAACGTTCTAATCTATCTGGAACTTGTTTTAGTGAGGAGTACAAGGTGAAGGCCTACCATTTTTCCCAAATAGCTGACTAGTTTTTCTCCCATTATTTACTAAACAGTCCCCACCTTTCCCCCTACTTTCAGGGCTGCCTTTTATACAGTCAGTCATCCTTGGTTATGGGTGAGGGGTTGGTTCCCTTGCGTAAAATGACAGAATAGTGGCGTATAACCTACACATCCTCCCATGTATTTTATTTCTAGGTTACTTGTAATACTAATACAATGTAATAGTTGTTACGCTGTATCATTTAGGGAATAATGACAAGAAAAGAAATCTATATGTATTCAATACAGACCCAGCTGTCGCAGACCTAAATATATTGTACATGTTAGCAGCACACAACTTTTTTTTTCAAGTATTTTTGACCCACAGTTGGTTGAATCTATGGGTGCAGAACCTGCAGACACAGGTATACAAGATCGTTTGCTCCAGGATGTGGCTCTAGACATGCTTTTCAATCCTACACCAGTACCACTCTCTTGATAACACAGTGCTCTTTAGAGAAAGTCTTCCTTCTTTACTTTTTTCAGTGTTATCTTGGCTACTATCTCCAGTTTATTTTTCCAGGTCAATTTTTAAAACTCTGTCATAACATGACATCATTTTGATTAGAATTACATTAAAACTATAAATTACTTTGAGAAGATTCACATCTTTATGATATTCAATTTTTTTAATCTAAGAGAACTTTACTTCTCTGTCTTTGCTTTTAAGTAAATTGTTTTCCAACATCAATAATTTTTAATATGTTTTTAATATCGCCACAATCTAATCTTAAGATGATGTATTTGGATCTAAAAATGCATTTGGTTTAAAAAAAATCATTCATTATCTATTGTTGTTCCACCTAAGTACTTACTCTCTTCTTATATTTTTATTACTTATATAAGTTTTACAAAGTCCCTGAGACTCTTAATGATTTACAGGAGCTCACTAGAAAAACACTGATTTTATTTAGTTATACCAATACATCTTAACAAAAGATGAAGCTTATAAAAATGATCTCATAAAAATTTTTAACTCTCTCTGTATATGTCCCAGTAATTAATGTTACTATTTGTAATTTCTTAGGTGAATCATTTTTCCTTTTGCTTCTGTTTCATTCATTCTGAAAAATAACTACTATTAATAGAATTCTGCCTGCATCAGTTATCTGTAATGCAGGCTTCCTTCACTAAGAATAATGAAACTTTATTGAGTGACCTTGTACTGTACTGCTCTGAAAGGGCCGCAGCTGCTAAGCAACAGGAGAGCTGTTCAGATTTCAAGAATATCTGTTATATGACTCACTCCCAGGTGAGGTTTCATTAACTCCTGATGGAAAGTGTGTGTGTGTGTGTGTGTGTGTGTGTGTTTGTGTGTGTGTGTGTTTGTACACACATCTGAGAAGTGTTCTAGCCTAGAGGAGTTCCCAATCCATTTGATCAAGAGCAGCTGGCATTTCCTGGACTAACCTTCACACTGTCATAGAGTTTCAAATCCACCACCAAAAGGGAAGACTACATTAAAAAGCAAAAGTGGGTACTCGAATTATCAGGGGGATCACTTTGAAAATTATATAATTGTCTAACCACCATGCAGTACACCTAAAACTAATATTGAATATAAACTGTAATTGAAAAATAAAATTTTAAAAGAGCAAAGTGGGATATTTACAAAAAATAGTCTCGAATTCCAAATTCAGTGCCTTCCTTAGAAATATGGGGCAGGTTTTTCAGCCTGTAACAGAATTATTGCTCCAGGACAGGCTAAAGACCATGAACACCACTCAACATATTAACAAGAAATGGAACATTTACTGCTCTGAAATAATTCTATGAAGGAAATGTTTGCTGCTACAGTAGCAAGTGATTCCCAAACTTTTAGATTCCAGGATCCAATGTTTTTGTTTTTGCTTTTGTTTTGGTGTTTGTTTGTTTTTGTTTATTTTTGATAGAGAAGGGATATCAGAAGAATTACAATTAGGGATATAAACAAGGGCAGAGGGTAANTCAATGTTTTTGTTTTTGCTTTTGTTTTGGTGTTTGTTTTTGTTTATTTTTGATAGAGAGGGGATATCAGAAGAATTACAATTAGGGATATAAACAAGGGCAGAGGGTAAGGAAGAACTAAACTTGTTCCCTTGATAGGCACTTGCATTTCATAAAAGAAGGAAATAATTTTAGCATTCAGGAGTTTTGAAGGATATAATAATCTAAGAAAACTGTTCAATCATTTATTTACATTGAACAATTATAGTTTTCCTTAAATTTTTCTCATTTCTTTGTGGATCAGCAAAATCTTTGTCAAAGGCCAGAGCTGGTCAACATATAGCATTTGAAAATCACCACTGCAGACTATGAGATCTTTGTCAACATATAGCATTTGAAAATCACCACTGCAGACTTAGAGCATCTAATCAGAAAAACTTCTTGATAGTGTTAGCAGCAATTTTCTGGTTGCAAAACAATAGAATCCATGTTCTGATTAGATCCCAGAAGAGAACTGAATCTCTCTGAGAGTCATATCACCCTCTAAAAATGCTGAACATGGCAGAGAATACAGATAAAAACTTAGATCATGTGTGTGCGTGTGTGTGTGTGTGTGTGTGTGTCGGGGCATTTGGAGAGATTGCATTTCAGCACTGACCACCACTTCTGCCCCATTGAGGCGCCCTGCTCTGTGTTTGAATGGATCCTGGTGTCTATCTGGTTAGTAAAAACTCAGACAAGTATGAGGGTAGGAGTTGAGAGACATGCTAAACCCAAGATGATTTTGTTTTGTGATTGGTTCTTCCTGCTTGTGTTTCACACAGTTCCCTGTGCTTGGAAAGGCTCACACAAAGAGAGGCACACACCCAGAACAAAGCTCTCAACTGAATACTAAAGCAGAAATACTTACCCAACTCGAAGAACTATGGAATAGTTCTTTAATATTGGCACATTTAATCTTGGCACAGGAAGGAACTTTGAGATCGGCATTTAACAAATAAGAAAACCAGTCCAACCACGTGAATTTATCCACAATTAGGTGGCTAGTTTGTGGTTAGACCAGCAATAGAACTCAAGTCAGTACAATTTCCACTCCAGCACAAATCAATGTTACTAACTGTTGCTGTCACTGTATTGGACAATGGTCCATAGTAATATGTTAAAATTTACCAAAAAAGCTAAATTAGTGAAAGGATTAATCACACACAACATCCCATTAAGCATCAATTTCTCTTAGAGTATGTTATACTTCTATTTATAAAAATGTTACTGAATGTAGAGTTTAAAACATGTATCTCTAATATACAGTGTGATCCAGAAGTAATTTCTAAAATGCCTAATTCCATATTAAAACTAATATTGGTCTTACAGTGTACAACATTTTGGTTCATTTAGAAATATCTCTTAAACAATCATCCCCCTGCCCCTCATAAAAAAAGACTCAAAACGTCATTTTCTGTTAGTCAGAGCAGAATGAAAAGTGTTTTCTACCCTCCCGCACACATTTTCTTTAATGTTCTAAAATGAACAGCAGAGGTTAGTTCGAAAAAGTACCTAATCCATTTTTTCAGAATTATCTGTAGAAAAGCTAATGCCTGGATGTGCAACCTTTTTCCTCCGTGGGCAGCTCTTCCGCTGTTGCACGCGTGCAGTCAGGGGAGGGAAGGAAGGAGCGAAGAGGCCAAAGGAGAACTGCTCAGGACGCCCCGAGAGCGGCGCTCAGCGTGCATGCGGCGCTGGCCCCCGGCTCGCCCGTGGCAGACATTCCCTCGTTTCCTGCGTTTCCTCATTTGCGTTTCGGCTGCTAACAGCCGGAGAGGCGCGCAACTTCGTACAGTTTTCATTATCCTCTGTCCCCCGCTGCGGGGCCCTGCGGTGGAAATTCACATCCTATTTATTGTGGAAGCTGCGGAGAAAAATGGCCCTGTCTGTCGGACGTTTGGTGCAAAGGGATGGAATAGAGCCCAGAGCTGTTTTGCAGGCCCCAGAGCTGATGCCAGCCCCTGTAGGAGGGAAGGCGGCGCAAAGGTCACGGGGAACAGTGGGGAAAACAGAAAGGGGGGACCGGGCCGTGGGCTGCCCCCCAGGCCTCCCCCAGCTGGAGCTCAGGGACGCAAAAGGAGATCAGTGAGAGCCCCTGACGCAGGAGCCGGTGCTGCAGGCGCATGCTGGGGCCACACAAAGCAGTCATCTCCCGCCTCACTGAAAGGAGTAGGGGGTGGAATGTTCCAGAACTGAGCATCGGACAAACGGTGTATGGGTTACACGTTCTAGGAGAATGACGGCAGTGTAAAATGCACTCGTTAAAATATATTGAACATAATCTCGTTTTTAAATTTTCATCTTCAGAGAAGACGTCAGCCATGTGCCGCCCGGGACAACAGTCATTACGCAGGGCTGGTGGCAGGTTCTGCTGCTTAGCTGGGCCTCCTTTCTGCAGTTTGTTTTGAGTAGATTATATTTACAGCAAAGTAACAAAACTGTGGTCAAGAAAGAACTAAAAGAGTTGATGAGATGGAGGAATGAAAGGCAGAAACATGAAATAAGTAGGGAAAAATCTAAAAGTACCGGCTTACCGGCTACGCTGATGGGAAAGAAACTCCTAGGTTTATTTCGTTTGTTCATTGCTGAGTGATCTGGGTAGTTGAGATGCAAATAATTGAGCTAATTAAATTAATACTTAAGTTAATCGTACTGCTCTGGTCCTGGCACTGGGTCATGTGTACTGAAACCTTTATTTCGCTTTATTCTTCTGACCCCACTGCCCTCCTCTCTCCCATAGGTATATAATCTAATATGTTTGAAACTTAGCATAGTGGTTAAAAGCCTAAATTTCTAAAGCCAGTCTTCCTGGATTCCAATCTCAGCGCTACCACTTACCACTGTGTGGCCTTCAGCAAGTTACTTGGTGCTGCTGTGCCTGGTGTCAAATGGAGCTAACAGTAACACGTACGTCATGAGATAGCTGTGAGAATTAAATGAGTTAGTAGGAGTAAAGCACCTACAACAATGGTAAGCAGTGTGTGCTAGCTAATATATATATATTTTTGAAAAAAGCATTTTTGTGTATGCATACATTTTAAATCTTATCTTGCTTTAGATCTACCTATAGAGATAACAGTGTGATTTTCCCCCCTTTAGTCCTTTAATGCGTTAAATTGCATTGATAGATTTTAAACACTCTTTGCATTCCTGAAATAAACTCAATCATGATACACTTTTTTATTACAACTGTTGGATTCAGTTGAATAATATTTAGAATTTTTGAATCTATGTTCAAAAATGAAATGAGCCTACAATTTTCTTTTGTCTCTTATTTCTCTTGTAACACCTCTTTTCTTATGAGAGTCAGCATAATGCCCCATCAAAGGGATTAGGTAGCTATCCTTATTTTATTTTCTAGAACTTGTTTAATGTTTAAATCTCCTATAAAGCCAGTTGGATACAATTGCTTTCTATGATTAGGAGAGAGCTACAATTAACATTTAAATATAGTTTCTGGCTATGACCTGGTTAAGTGTTCTATTTTTTACTGCTCCAATCTATGCTTTTTTTCTCCCAGAATTTAATCGAGGTTTGAAATTTTTTGTTATACAGTTTATATTATTTTATTTTATTTCTCCAGAGTATGTAGCTACTTCCGCTTTTTGTGCTAAATTTTGTGTAATTGCACCTTCTCTCTTAATTTACTAGGTAGCATGGCCAGATTTTTACCTCTCCTCCTACCTCTTTTCTTTTTAATTTTTTCAAGTGCCATGCTTTGGTTTTTGCTCTGCTTATCTAACTTTTTTCTGCTGTTTTCTCTTGTACTTCTTTTCTCATATCTTCTTGGATTTGTTCTGCTTTACTCTTCTGATTACTTAGGTTGAAAATGTAGCTCTCTCTTTTCTATTCTTTCTTTTTATATCATTCCACCTTCCAGAATAAGACAAGCACATTGGTCTCTTCCCCCACCTCCTCCCCTCCCTGACATATTGGTATTATCTAGAATTGTAATTCTGGGTTGGTTTCCATGTAGATTTGTTGCTTTGCTTCACTCCATTGGGATCTTGAATTCAGTTTTGCTGGCGAGAAGTACGGTGTCCATCCGAGTCACGTCCTTTTTTTGTAGGAGATGTGCTTTTTTTCCTCTAGATCCGTTAAAATTTTCCTCTTTGTCATCAATATCCTTACATTATTCTGTAATGTGTTGAGATACTGGAATTCTTTCCTCGTTGTCCTGTTAGTCCTTTTGTTCGGAAGTTTTTCAGTAATTCTCATTCTGGGAAACTCTCAATACCTCAAATATTTTCACCCCTTTATGTACTTAATTCTCTCTTTGAGGTTCATTTTATAAGAGATAATAGCGTGTGTATTTCTTTTATCTATATCTCTTATATTTTATTGCAATATTTCCTTCTTATCACTTACTGATATCTTCTGGGAGAGTTCTTCAGCCTGACCTTCATCAACTCAATCATTTGTTGAGTTCTTTATTTCAGCTGTTCTAGTTTTCATACAGAGCAGCACCAGCTGATATTATTTCAACCTCTGGTTTCCATTTCATGTGGTAAGGAGCACATTCAGAGCCACCCCAAGCTCTTGCACCTGCTAACTTCTCACCCCAGTAAGTCTTGGGGACCCCTCTCCAGCTGGTGCTGCCTTGAGTCGGCAAGATGAGCAAGAGGACTCTGCTTTGTTGCATCTCCCCTCTGCTGCCGGACCCTCCTCTACTTTTCTCACCAGTTCCCCAGACACTGGGGTCCAACCACCTTGTACTGCCACAAGGGTTTCTCATAGCTTACATGGTCATTTTTTATATAGAGAACCATCACCTTATTCTAATGTCTATTACATTTCTAGGGTTGATGTCTAAAAAAATTAGCAACTCCTGCCTCTATGCCATCTTGTCGGGAACAGTAGCTAACAGTGATTTTCAAAAACTGGATTTTTGTATCAAGGTAGAATGCATTTTGTAGGAATAGCTTTCTCATTTTAGGATGTGGTGGCCTCAGTTTAGAAGGAAGAGGGCATCAGGAAGCTGGCCTCATAGGAAAATAAAATGAACAAAGAGGCAAAGAGACTCACACGTTCTATACCCTACAAGTCTGTTACCTGTCACTTCTGGGAGCTCTGAGAGTATAAAGATGGCACATTCTTGCACAGCCACGCTTCCCTGCCTAGTGTGCACATTCCCTTATATTACACAACAGGCATACTCCTGTGACGAATTTGTAATTTTAAGTGTCTAATCAAACCATGATCTTATTTACCTTTTCATATTTTTCTGCTCATTCCCTCAGAATCAACCTACCGCCACCAAGCAACCATCGATGATGAAGTTGTCGCCATGGAGATACTAGATACTGCTGGTCAGGTGAGTAAGGAGTTCATCTAAAATATTTCCTGGATCAAATAAAAATCAGATGTGCATAATATGAACAAAAGACACTTTCCTACAGTTCATGCATAATACGTAAAGTATTTATGTATTAACATATTGGCGACAGCCTGTGTATGCATCCTTATGTAAATTACCCAGTACTTCAAGGGGGTTTTGAAAGTACCATAACATTCACATTACTCACCTATGTTTTGGGAGATTACAAGATATTAGTAGAATTTCATGGTTAAAAGTGTTTGAAATGCTCCAATAAAGTTAAACAGATATCTTTACTGCAGAAGTTCTCAGAGCCTTTATTTTACTTATGAGTAAGGTGATTCCCTAAGGGATTTAGTACACATTTTATTCCATATTTATATGACCTCAGAACCTTTTTTCAGAATATTTTATTTTAGGAATCTCTCCTGTGATATTCTTTCTAGACTTCATCACATCTCACTGAAAATTTGAGCCAAATCATTGAACAATAACAATTTATTTTAAAAAGAAACTAATATAAATTCGTTTTGAGGTCATTCAGTTCTGAGATTACAAATGGGTTCACAGATACGTTTAGTTCTCAAAGATAAGAAAGACCACTAGGAATGAGAATGGGGAAGCTGGAGGATTTCATGGTGCTTATCAGTGACCTATGACCCCAAGAAGACTGGAATTAAAGTATCGAATCCAAGAATTGTTCTTGCAAGTATTCTTTCTCATCGCCACCTGTTTCCTATGTCCCGCTACCCAGAACTGATTCTAGAGAGAGGCAGCAGGGAAATACATGCCTGCAGAAGTCATTCGAACCATGAAGACAATGCATTTTCAAATCACACAGGCTCCCTTCCAAGGAAGGAGTGATCACCTCCTTTGAAAATCACTTCAAATGAGTTTCTATCATTACTGGGACTGCATAATATTTTGGGGGTTATTGAGGTAGAGGAGAAAAAATCCAAAAGCCCCTGGCTGTGAGTTTAATTCTCTATACAGTTACTCAGTGTTTCTGCCCCAGTGACTATTTGTCCATAATCTGAAGAATGAAGAGATAAAACAAAAAACAAACACACAAAATCAAAACCATTTCACAGTACTGTGCCTCTAAATTCTGATCTCTAAGGGGTGAGGGAAAGTCCACTTTGTGACCTGCTGGCTAATTCCTTAATTGTGATGAAAAGCCTCAGGGGCAATATGCTCAACCAAGATGATACTTTATAGTTCTTGTGATTAAAGATGTAATGATGTGGCAAGAAAAATTAGAAGCAGAAAGTTAAGTTCTATGCAGACAGAAAAATCTTAGTTCCCTGAAGTACCTTGCTATGGAGAATTAACGCTTCTATTCCCAGCTGATTGAGAGGGTAAGCTCTTACAGGCAAAATTTCAAGACCTTTTATAGACACCGAGTAGAAGGAATAGTAGTTAAGGGATCACTACTAACATCAGCAGCATCTATACATTTTTCTCACCTTCAGGAAGACACCATTCAGAGGGAAGGACACATGCGATGGGGGGAAGGCTTCGTGCTGGTCTATGACATCACTGACCGAGGAAGTTTTGAGGAAATGCTGCCACTTAAGAACATTCTGGACGAGATCAAAAAGCCCAAGAATGTGACTCTCATCTTGGTGGGAAACAAAGCTGACTTGGACCACTCCAGACAGGTTAGTACAGAAGAAGGGGAGAAGCTGGCCACGGAATTGGCGTGTGCTTTTTATGAGTGTTCCGCCTGCACCGGGGAAGGGAACATCACGGAGATATTCTACGAGCTGTGTCGAGAGGTGCGTCGCCGGAGGATGGTCCAGGGCAAGACAAGGCGACGCAGCTCCACCACGCACGTCAAGCAGGCCATCAACAAGATGCTCACCAAAATCAGTAGTTAGGCGGCTCCATGCTTGCCAAGGCCCTACCGAGGTGGGTCGGGTCATTGGAAACACTTTCTTGCCCCTTTGCCTTTTATATCCCCCCTCCCCCAAATAAAAGAAAATACTCCAGCCCTTGTTCTGACTCTGGGAAATGTCTGAGCTCCCCCCTTGTTCCCAGCTTCCTGTATGCTGAGAAGTTATCGAGTGTTTTGTGCAATTTCAGTGCTGAGAGTTACTCCCTTCCCTGCTTGAATAAGGTACACTTTATTGCAGTTTCAACATGTAATCACCAGAGATTCTGAAATGGCTGGGTTCATATAAAGCTATTTTTAGGCATCTTCACTTTGCTTCTGTAGGTTGAATTCTTTTCAAAGGCTTTTTTAAAAATTCCATTTCTTGTCAAAGTCTACAAATGATCACCTTAGAAGTTCAAGATAATAGAAAATACAGTACAAATGCAGGAAGAGTAGCTAAAATATTGGAGCAGAAAGGAGCGTCCTAGTTCCTATTTGAAGCAAGGGTTTTCTGAATTATCTTAAATTATCTAGTTTTTCTTTAACCCTTATTTTGTTCCTAGATTCAAGCATGTTCTCACAAGGTTTTCCATTGTGGAATAGAGAATTCCATTTCAATTTGAGTTGGTTCTCTCAATGATCTTTTTATTGATCATCTCACCCTAATTCTTCCTCTGTAACTCCAACAAGATTCCCTTAGAGGCAGCAGGACCCCTCAGTTCAGAACTGAATAGCCCCTTTCCCACCAAGACACTGGGAATCTTTTCATCAAACCCTAACAGAGGGTTTAGAATTAGAGATGTCTGATTCGTTTCTCTCTCTGCCTATCATCTTAGCAGAAAAACAAGTCTGAAAAGCAGGAAAATTAAGAATTAAGCTAAACTACCCTTATGTTGGGGATCCCAAGGCTCTATGCCAGACACAGTAAGAAAAATTAGCCTCTGATTCATTAAGGTGGTTACGTGAAGTCATGTAATACAGGGTGGGGCAGAAGTAGGTTTACAGTTCATATGGAAAATAATATAATAATAAATAATAATACAAGAATAAACTCTGTGTTTTGCATACTCACAACTGTATACCTACTCTTGCCCCACCCTGTATTTTGGATAAATTAATTCAATTAAGAGAATTCAAAAAAGACAGGGTGATTAAAGTTCATTATACCATAATAAATGTACATAAAACAGATTCTTATATTGTGAAAATGCAGTCTATAACTGATAAAACTTTATGATTCTTTTTTCTCCTAATTATGCCCCCATATAGCAAGACTTGGGCACTTTATTTTAGAAGAAAATATATATCTTTTACATATGTGTGTATTTATAAATGCATAGATATATGTATAAAAATTTTAAGAGTTGGAGGCTTTAATTCACCAATGCATTTGGACAACCTGATGTAACTATTTTGTGTGAAATATAATAAAAAGCATAATTTTCACCTTATCTCACATTAGGGCAGTCTTTCTTGTGATAACATGAAATGGTTATAATTTTAAGAGACACTTGAGGGGACAAATTTCAGAGTTGATGAATCAGTGAATGTGATATAAAAAAATAAGCTTCAGTTCATAATAACAGCTACTATTTTCTGGAGTGCTCAGGTGCTGTTTTAGGCACTTTGTTATCTCATCAAATCCTTACAATAATCTAATGCAAGAGAGTGCCACGATTACAACTGCAGGGGTGAAGATACTGAGCCACAAGAAAAAAACAAGTTTGCCTAGCTATTTAGAGGGTAGAGCCAGGATTTAACCCAGGGGCAAGGAGCCCATACTAATATTCATAGGATATTAACAGACTAAGATATGACTCATGTTCTTGAGCTCTGGGGATGACACAGGAAGGAGAAAACTGGGGAAAGACTTGCTTCATTTATGCTTTCATTCATTCAAGAACTAATATTTCTCTATAAGTTGGGCATATATCTTGGCAGAATATAGTTCATTTGATTGTATCTGAGCTTAACCTTGAAGAATATATACAAGTTATTAAGGGGGGAAAAGACAGTGAAAATATTATAGGCAAAAGGAGTAGCATGAAACTAAAATACGGAGCTATGAAAGGGAACTGTAAGTGTAGGGACTGAAAGCAGTTTAGAGAGCCACATATATCATAGTTTAGAATAAAACAGAAGGGATAACAGAGAGAAAGAATTAAAAGGAAAAAATAAGGGATTTGGAAGTAAGAAAAAAAGGCAAAAATTCATAAAACTGCAAGTTTACATAACTGTATATTAAAGGACCTAGTAGCTGACTCAGCTGTGATTAATTTTCAGCACTGTCCACCTTGACAGGGCAGGGGAAATGAAAGCAGAGTAAAATTATTTAAGTGTCGCCATCTTTTAGAATTGCAGTCTATTCCATTCTCTCCTACCTATGCTTGGGGGTGCAGCTCAGCCAGCTCCTCCTCCTAAGAGCAAGCTCCTGAGGAGACATAATGAAGTACCTGGGTGCCATCTTAGGGCGACACTAAGGAGGTGAAATTCACAGTCCCCAGCACCAGCAACTTCCCTTAACATAGGCCTGCAAATCCAGACCTGTTGCAGAAGCACAGACCCACTGGCTTAAGTCCCAACTGGTAATTACACGAGGACATGAGATTGCACAAATATAAACTACTTATTCCTCTCATGCCCCAGGCTCTTCCACAAATGAAGCTTATAAACAGTTGTGGTTTTTTAAATAGTATTTTAATGATGGAAACCTGTGTGTTCTTGAATAATAATGATGGGTTGTTATCACCACACTGTCACAGCCGGTGTTTGCTGTTTGTAGTTGCTTTCGTTTTCTTTTAAGATGCAAAAGACTTTATTCCTAAATGTTGTGTTTGTACTCAGATGCCTCACAGCACTGAGGGAAGGAGCCCATGATTCAGGGCCTTCCTTTTAAGTAATGTATAATACTTACACGTATGTAAGTGAGTGCTACACCTTGGATTCTAAGTGTAACACCAGCCAAGCTTTCGTTTTAAAACAGTCTATGCCCATTTTGAAGACAATAAAAAAGTAGCCAGTTCGCTGGGTCAAAATGAATCAGAATCAGGTTGAATTCAGTTGTCCTGAGCTAATAATCTATTGGGAGATTCTGAGAAAAAATAATGACATAAATATATTTTCTCCACACATTTGAAATGCTACATTTAGCAAATTCTGTATTCTCATATATATAGTTCTATTTTTATATTAAACTACCTGCTTTTAAGTGCTTATTATAAAGCTATACTAACCAAGATAGCATGTTGCTAGTGTAAGAATAGACATATAGGCCTATGGAAGAGATAGAAAGACCAGAAGCAGAACCACACTTATGTGGTTGATTGATTTTTGACAAAAGCACCAAGAAAATTCAACAGGGAAAAGGATATTCTTTTCAACAAATAATGCTGGAACAATTTCATATCCATCTGCAAAATAAATATCAACCCATACTTTACATCATATACAAAAAGTAATTCTAGATGTATCATTGGCCTCAGTATTAGCACTAAAACTATAAGACTTCCATAAGGAAACAGGAGAAAATCTTTGTGATCTTGAGTTAGGCAAGAATCTCTTAGAACACAATAAGCACAAATAAAAGCAAAGTTAAAAATTTTTCATTTCAAAAGGCTAAGAAAATGCAACAGCAAGCCAGACTGGGAGAAAAATATGTGAAAAATACATATCTCACCAAGAACATATATAAAGAATACATAAAGAACTCTTAGAACTCAATAACAAGATAAATAATACGGTTAATGTATGGGGCAAAAGTTTTGAGTAGACAATTCACCTAAGATATATAAATGGTAAATAATTACATGAAAAGATGCTCAACATCATTAAACATTAGAGAAATGCAAATTAAAACCTCAGTGTATTACCAGAACATACTCAGTGTAACGGCTAAAAATAAAAAGACTGACAATACACATCTACATTCTGGAACTCTCTTACATTGCTACTTGGAATGAAAAATGGCACAGTCATTTTGTAAAACAGCGTCAAGTTAATTATAAAGTTAAACATATATTTAACATACAATTCAGCAATCCTGCTCCTGAGTATGTCCCAAGATAAATGAAAATCTATGTTCACATAAAGACATGTCTGCTAACATTTACAGTAGCTTTACTCATAATTGCAAAAAAACTAGCAACTCAGGTTTCCATCAATAGGTGAATGAACAAACAAGTTGTGGTGTATCTGCACCATGAAATACTACTAACCAATGAAAAAAAAGCAAACTGTGGGATAATTCTCAAAGCATTACGCTAAGTAAAAGAAGCCAAACACAAGATGCTATATATGATAATATTCCATCTGTACAAAATTCTAGAAAAGGGAAACAATAGTAAAAGCAGATCGGTGGTCACCAGTCTGAAGGTAACAAGTGAGACTAAATCCCAGAGTGGCCCAAGGGAACCTTCTACGGTGAAGAAAATATCCTATATCATGATGGTTGTAGTAGTTATATGACTCCATGCATTTTCTAAAACTCATCCATTTGTAAAATTAAAATTGGTTTATTTATTGCATGTAAATTGTACCACAAAATGCTGATTAGAAAAATAAACATCTGTCAGTTAGGCTTTCAGCAAGGAGGGCCAATCCAAGAAAGCCATCCTGAAATCTATTTAAAACACATGTTCGACATGTCAGAATAGGTTTTTAATTTGTGTCATTTCTATGTTTAATAAAGTAACAATATTTTATTTTGAAATAATAGTGTCACTTAAATCCTCCATGTTCCTAAACCATTTCAGGCTCCCTGGCTAAACTACCTGCAGCCAATGGCGACCCATTGCAAGTGAATGTGTCATTGTGTTCTCTTATATATCCAAACCATTTTATTTAGGAACTGTGAACAAGTGTTTGGGCTTTTTCAGTTTGGGAGTGTATGTGTGTGCACATGTCAGTCTAATCCTCACATGTTTTACAAGAGAAGAAAATAATTTGGATTGTTCTATGAAAGAGTATTTTTAAGAATAAAAACCTCACTGTTCAGCAACCTAGGGAAGTGCTTGACGATGCCTTCTTGATATTCCTTCATGATTTATGAGATTCTATAAACATTGCCATAAAATTTTTTTATTTCATCACCCTCTTCATCTTCACTGCTTGGGGAAGCAAGGGCTTATTGTGAAAAGCAAGGTAGGACATTGAAAAAAATACAGGATATTGATTACTTCTATTTCCTGAGCTTCTGAGTCTATCTATATGTTGGTAGTGTCCAACTATAATTTATGTTCCTAACATTTGCTTATAAATTGGCTTTGGGGGGTGCTGAATGCAATTTCACTGGAAAACAAAGTTATAAATCATATTTTGTTTTTCCAGCAGGTCCCTAGAAGCCTGTCTAACCCATAACATAGCACTTCCCTTGGTGAGGAATACATTAAACATAACATCGAAAAGAACAAATTTGTTTTCAGCACCCTCTCATCTCTCCTCTGTACCTCTCCCACCCATGCTGGTGACCCCTCTCCTTGTCCCTGAAACCCTTGACTCTATACCTTCTTTGGGGAGTGGGGCAAATTTGGAATTTTTAAAAGAGGATGATTGATAAAACAAACACATGTGCCTGGTGATATTTCAAGAAGCCTAGAAAAGTGAAAGAAAATATTTTCTGTAGACTGGAGAAAGGATTTCTTTTTAGAAAAGAAACGTGCATACACAGAAGTAAGTGCAATTTACAGGAGATGAGTCCCTATAAACTGTCCATAAATACACAACTGACAAAAGGGACTTGATTATTTAATCCACCAGCACTTCCCAGAGTAACTTTTTTGAGTCTATAGAGTGCTGCTAGTTATTTAAGAAAAAAAAAAAAAATCTGTTTCAAAAGAATTTGGGAAACCATGGATTAGTGCAAGAAAAGCAGGTCTCATTACTGACTTCCCTGAGCTTCATTGTGCTAAAGGCTGTGAATCAGTAAGACGGGTTCAGTAGCACAGTGTCGCCTGAGCTTTGGATCCCTGGTGATGCACCTCGCAGGACTAG